CCCCGCATGGACTACAATGTAAGTGTACAATTCAAATGCACATGTTCCTGCATTAAAAATGGCTGTTTGTATACGTGGGTGCTGCAGCAATCGTCGGCTGGAACTGAACAGAATCAGCGAGGAAGAATGTCACCAACACACCGAGGATCACCAATATGGGTCCAAAGGTTTTAATGAACGATCACATAGTTACAGCAAGGAAACGTTTCGGCGATTCCTGGACCCCTTCTTCAGGCATGTGACGAATGCCTGATGAAGGGGTCCTGTGATACTCCAAAATGCTGCCTTGCTGTAACTATTATTATACAGGATTTATATGGCGTCAACAGTTTGCTCAGCGCTTTACAATATAACGGGAGACAATACAGCAACAATACAATTCAATACAAGAGGGATAGGAGGGCCCTGATCCTGGGAGTTTACAATCTAGGAACCATGTGATCGTTCATTAAAACTTTTGGACCCATATTGATAATCCTCGGTGTGTTGGTGACATTCTCCCTTGCTGATTCTGTTCGGTTCCAGCCGAAAACCCATTCTACCTACTCCCCAGTGCCACATAATACCCAGTGTGCCCACACCCCAGTGTCACATGTGCCCAAGACCACACTAACACATGAGATCCAGATGTGCCCACACCTACAGTGCCAAATTAAACTGTGCCCACAGCCATAGTCACACAGTATGCCGACACTAACAGCACTCCACTCTGCAGAGCTGTGCCCACACATATAGTGCCATATATACCCAGTACCCGCAATCACAGCACCACATTATACATAGCTGTGGTACACATAGTACCACATACCAACCAGAGTCTTGCTTGCTTTGTGCACTGGTGGGCAGTCATGTTGGAACAGGAAGGGGCCATCCCCAAACTCTTCCCACAAAGTTGGGAGCATGAAATTGTCCAAAATGTCTTGGTATGCTGACGCCTTAAGAGTTCCCTTCACTGGAACTAGGGGGCCAAGCCCAACCCCTGAAAAACAACCCTGCACCATAATGCCCCCTCCACCAAACTGTACGCTTGGTACAATGCAATCAAGTAAGTACCGTTCTCCTGGCAACTGCCAAACCCGGACAAGTCCCTTGGATTTCCAGACAGAGAAACATGATTGGTCACTCCAGAGAACACGTCTCCTCTTCTCTAGAATCCAGTGGCGGCGTGCTTTACACCACTGCATCCGATGCTTTGCATTGCACTTGGTGATGTAAGGCTTGGATGCAGCTGCTGGGCCATGTAAACCCATTCCATGAAGCTCTCTACACACTGTTGTTGTGCAAATCTGAAGGCCACACCAAGTTTGGAGGTCTTTAACTATTGACTCTGCAGACAGTTGGCAACTTCTGCGCACTGTGCGCTTCAGCATGCGCTGACCCCGCTCTGTCATTTTATATGGCCTACCACTTGGTGGCTGAGTTGCTGTTGTTAACAGTTGCTTCCACTTTGTTATAATCCCACTAATAATTGAGCGTGGAATATTTAGTAGCCAGGAAATGTCACGGATGGACTTATTGCACAGGTGACAACCTATCACAGGACCACGCTTGGAGTCACTGAGCTCCTGAGAGCGACCCATTCTTTCACAAATGTTTGTAGAAGCAGTCTGCATGCCTAGGTGCTTGATTGTATACACCTGTGTCCATGGAAGTGATTGGAACACCTGAATCACATGATTTGGAGGGCGGACCCAATACTTTTGGTATGTATGTATGTATGTATGTATATATATATATATATATATATATATATATATATATATATATATATATATACACACATATACACACACACACACACATACATACACAGTTGTGTTCAAAATAATAGCAGTGTGTTGAAAAAAGTGAATAAAGCTCAAAATCCTTCTAATAGCTTTTATTTCCATCCACACAAATGCATTGGGAACACGACACATTCTATTTCAAATCAAAACATGAAGAAAAATATATCAAATTTGTGTTGTTCCTCTAAAAAAATGGAAGAAAAGTGAATATTGTAATGTACAGCGCTGAGCGAACTATTGGCGCTTTATAAATACTGTATAAATAATAATAATAATATTAGACGGTTTCAAAAAAATCGCAGTGTTTGTATTCTTCTTTACAAACTCCAACATTCACTATATAAACTGAAAAATGTTTGAAGATTTTGCTTTCCTTTGAATGACTTCATGAATATTTGGTTGTAGTCGCACTGTTTCTGAGAACTGCTGTACATCTGTGTTGCATGGAGTCACCCAACTTCTGGCCCCTGTGATCAGGTATTCCAGCCCAGGATGATTGGACCACATTCCACAGTTCTTCTCTATTTCTTGGTTTTGCCTCAGAAACGGCATTTTTGATGTCACCCCACAAGTTTTCTATTGGATTAAGATCCGGGGATTGGGCTGGCCACTCCATAACGTCAATCTTGTTGGTCTGGAACCAAGATGTTGCACGTTTACTGGTGTGTTTGGGGTCGTTGTCTTGTTGGAACACCATTTCAAGGGCATTTCCTCTTCAGCATAAGGCAGCATGACCTCTTCAAGTATTGTGATGTATTCAAACTGATCCATGATCCCTGGTATGCGATAAATAGGCCCAACACCGTAGTATGAGAAACATCCCCATATCATGATGCTTGCACCACCATGCTTCACTGTCTTCACAGTGTACTGTGGCTTGAATTCAGTGTTTGGGGGTCGTCTGACAAACTGTCTCCGGCCACTAGACCCAAAAAGAACAATCTTACTTTCATCAGTCCACAAAATGTTGCACCATTTTCTCTTTAGGCCAGTCAATGTGCTCTTTGGCAAATTGTAACCTCTTCAGCACATCTTTTTTCCAACAGTGGGACTTTGCGGGGGCTTCTTGCAGATAGCTTGGCTTCACATAGGTGTCTTCTAATTGTAACAGTCCTCACAGGGAACGTCACACCTTCTTTCATCTTCCTGGAGCTGATTGTTGGCTGAGTCCGCGCCATTTTGGCTATTCTTCTATCCATTCCAATGGTAGTTTTTCGCTTTCTTCCACATCTTTCAGGTTTTGGTTGCCATTTTAAAGCATTTGTGATCATTTTAGCTGAGCAGCCGATCATTTTCTGCACTTCTTTATGTTTTCCCCTCTCCAATCAACTTTTTAATCAAGGTACGCTGTTCTTCTGAACAATGTCTGGAACGACCCATTTTCCTCAGAATTTCAGAGAGAAATGCACTGTAACCAGCATGTACAACATTTGCTGCCTTCCTTCCTTAAATAAGGGCAATAATTGCCACCTGTTTTTCAAAGAATGAATGACCTCACTAATAGAACTCCACACTGCTATTATGTTGAACACGCCCCTTTCAATGAGTGATTCAATTACACAGAATCAGCAGCATGCATGTCATGACTGTTGGGTCTGTTGGATTTCTATTACTCTACTACACACCTGCTAGTAAATTATGTGCCATGTAGAAATATCATTTCTACCAAAAAACAGTGATTGATCCGGTTAGTGATGTCTGACTGCTATTATTTTGAACACAACTGTATATCTGTTCATGTCCCATTAAAATGCAACTTTGTTTCCTAATGATCATGTTTGTCCTTTTATAGGAATATATTACGTTTGCCAAATTAAATTTGCTAAACAAAACCGTAGTCACACAGTGCACATGAATAGTCCTCCTCCATTTCCCCATCGCTCATATTTTTATGGATATTGTTTGTGTCGATCTAATAATATAACTGTCTTGCCGCTGACTGTTTTTCTAGTCCTATATATTTTCTAGTCCTATATATTCTGCATAAGACAAAGCTTCCCATAGAAATCTCTGTGACAGACATACGTGTCAGCACAGTGCAATCTTCAGGTCAGATCTGGTTGTAGAACGTTGGGGGTATGCAGCGGTAGCAGAGGCCAGGCTCCCGGTTTTTGGCCTCTACACATGGACTCATCACTGCTGGGAGATAGATGGGATGTGACAGTGTGAGAGTGGCACCGGGGCAACAAGCTGGCCTCGGGTCCTCCATGTGCTGCTGTGTGCCTGTCCCCCTCGGGACACTGGGAACAATAGAGCCCCTCTTCTGTCCGATACAAAAATATGCTGAGCATTCGCCTGAACTAATTCCTCTACAGTCCCTAATTACCACACAGGGGTCTTATGACAAGGACTGGTTTGGAACATTTTTTCTTTTTTCCTTCCAGGAACATGGGAATGGCATGAATCTGCCTGTGTTTTCTGTGTAGCATTTAGTGTTCTCCATTTCATTTTTAAAGGGGAACTTTAGACCAATTAAAATTGTGAACATTAGCCACTTGAGCTCCGGAAGGTTTTACCCCCTTCATGGCCAGACCATTTTTTGCTATTCAGTGCTGTGCTACTCTAATTGGTAATTGCTCGGTCATGCAATGCTGTACCCAAATGAAATTTATATAATTTCTTTTTCATACGAATAGAGCTTTACTTTGCTGGTACTTGATCACCACTAGGTATTATATTTTTTGCTATATACATGAAAAAAAAATACGAAAATTAAAAAAAAAAAAAAAAAGCAAGTGATACTAAAGGTCCAGATTTTCTTTTTTAACCCCTAGCCTACAGGGCACTTCTACCCCCTTCCTGCCCAGGCCAATTTTAAGCTTTCAGCGCTGTCGCATTTTGAATGACAATTGCGCGGTCATGCAACATTGTACCCATATGACATTTTTATCATTTTTTTGAGACAGATAGAGCTTTCTTTTGGTGGTATTTAATCACCTCGGGATTTTTATTTTTTGCTAAACAAACCAAAAACAATTGAAATATTTGAAAAAAAAAAGTTTTTTTTCTTAGTTTCTGTTATAAAATGTTTCTCCTTCACTGATATGCGCCAATGAGGCTGCAGTGATGGGCAGTGATGGGCACTGATAGGTGGCACTGATGAGGCACTGGTAGATGGCACTGATGGGCATTGACAGGCATCACTGATGGGCACTGAAAGGCAGCACTCATATATGGCACTGATAGGTAGTGCTGACTGGCACTGATAGGCAGCACTGATGGGCACTGATAGTCGGCACTGATGGGCACTGATAGTCGGCACTGATGGGCACTGATAGTCGGCACTGATAGACTGGCACTGATAGGCGGCACTGATAGGTGGCACTGATTGGCATTGATTGGTGGCACTGACTGGCATTGAAAGGTGACACTGAAAGGAAGCTCAGATGAGCACTGATATGTGGCATTGATGTGGCACTGGTGGGCACTGCAGGTGGTACTGATGAGCACTGACAGCTGGTATTGATGGACACTGACAGGTGGCACTGCTGGGGCTACACTGATGGGGCTGCCCTGATGATCAGTGTACATGTCCCCTCTGAGGAATGCCGATTACCGGCTCTCCTCTCCTCTGTCAGCGTGACCGCTCGTGAGGAGAGAAATGCCGATAACCAGAATTTCCCAATTTACATGCAATCAGCTGTGATTGGACACAGCTGATCACATGACCAAGCCGAAGTGTTCGGCTCTTTCCGTTGATCGGTGATCCACTGTGTCCTAGGGACACAGTGCACCGAGAATCACCGCGCTGCGCGCTCCCGGAGCTGCACATGCACGGTTAGATTGGGAGGACGTCATATGACGTCCTCCCAGAACGGGAGAACCGCCTTGCGCCCGTCATCACTGGCTGTGATTGATAGCAGGGGAAGCCAGTGGAGGGACAGGACTGTACAGTCTCATAAGGAAACATGCACAGCTCAGGGTGTCTATCACCTTCTGTGTACTGGGGGGCAGGGCCGTCTCTGGGATTTCTTGGTGTCAGCCTAGACTGTCAGAAGTGATTCATACAGATAGTAGCGAAAGGAGATAGTAGGCAGGATTCACAAAAAGTACTTTGGTTTTGAGGCTAGTACATACTATAGAACCGGGGTGTCAAACTCATTCCCCTCGAGGGCCACTTCAGCATTATGGTTGCCGTCTAAGGGACAGTTGTATCTGTAAGACTAAATGTCAAGAGCACCCCACCCCTTACATCAGATGTCAAGAGCCCCCCCCCACCACTATCTGAAGTCAGGAGTCCCCACCCTAACTTACATCACAGTGCCCCCTTTTACCTTGTGCTGCTGCCAGGAAGAAGCTGGGAGGGGTTGAAGCTGGGAATCATTAAGTGCAGGGTCTGGAGAAGGACCAGAGGAGGGCTGGAGTCAGCTGTCAAAGTCTGCTAAATGCTTAGACCAGGGAAGGTGCAGATGAGGGGGTGCTGCAGCTGAACATAGAAGTGCAGGATCTGTAGGAGGAGTTCTGTCCTCCTCTCTGCTGCTGATTGCTGAGACGGTCAAACATGAGTTGACTGCACAGAGAATCACAGGATCTGGTGGAGGAGCTCCGCACTCTTCTCTGCTGCCGACTGCTTAGACAAGGTGAGGGCTGAGACGGGGGGGGGGGGGGGCTCCAGCTGCAGGAGAGGTGCGAGGGCTACATTGAATGGCCTGGCAGGTCAGATTTGACACATGTGCTATAGAGGGAAATGCTTTATTCATTTTTAATTTGAGGGGTTTACAACCACTTTAATAGGTATGTGTAGCACACTCGAGGTCAACTGGTTAAATTCTCAGATATCTAGGCTTTGGGGGTACATTGGAACACAGCAGAGACTGCATGCAGATATGTGGGGGTGCGTGAGGACAATGGCTTAACAACTTTAATATCAAAGTACAGGCTCACTCCATCACTAGTCATGTGACCAAATGCCTAGGAATTTGCTGTGTATTCTGTAGAAAGGTAGATCAGCCATTTTAAATTCTGATCCTCCCCCTTGATGGAGCTCACATGACCAAATGACAAATGACCAGGTTTTTGGTCACTTGACCAACACTGCAGGGAGCCCTTTTTTTCTAGAAAAGGTAAGTAAGAAAAGGTATGGGCAGCACAGTGGCTAAATGGTTACACTTCCGCCTGGCAGTACTCGGGTCGTTGGTTCCAGTCCCAGACACGGCACCAGCTGCCTGGAGTTTGCATGTTCTCCCTGTGCCTGCGTGAGTTTTCTCTGGGTACTCTGGTTTCCTCCCACACTCCAAAGACGTTCTGGTAGGTTAATTAGATCCTTTCTAAATTGGCCCTAGTATGTGTATGAATGAATGTGAGTTAGGGACCTTAGATTGTACACCCCTTGAGGGTTAGGGACCTTAGATTGTACACCCCCCTTGAGGGTTAGGGACCTTAGATGTACGCCCCTTGAGGGTTAGGGACTGATGTGAATGTACAATATATATGTAAAGCGCTGTGTAAATTGACAGTGCTATATAAGTACCTGAAATAAATAAATAATACGTATTTTAGCATTTCCGTTACTTTTTATTGATCCATCTCATCAAGTCGGTTAAGCCTTAGACAGGATCCACTGAACCTACCAGCATGTTTTTGGAGTGTGAGAGGAAACTGGAGTACCCGGAGGAAACCCACGCAGGCACAGGGAGATCAGGCAGGTGGTGCCATGATTGTGATATTAATCAAACACCTGGTCTGTGTTTGCAGCAAACCGGCAAAATGAATAGAGTGATAGTAACCAGATATGACCCATGTGACCTATAAATATACGGCTTTGTATGGCCACACTATGTACATACGGGAAATTAACTTGGAACATCCCAGTCGTATACAACATTTCGCACTGTTAGAGAAATAAAAAAAAGCAGATTTTGTGACACATCAGAAAAATCTAGAGATCGAATTGACCGAACTGTTTCTTTGGCTGAATGTCGGGTTGTAATTCTTGTTTCCAATGCACAGCTTTGTTTTTTTTTTTCCTTGGGCAGCAGTAGCAAGACTGCCACCTGCTGGTCCCCCTAGAGAACAAACAAATCAGAATACTGACATGTCAGAGGTCAGCACTGTGCAGGAACACATGCATTTATAAAGAGCTTACCAGAAACCACAGCAATCCCTTTGTGTTTTTTCCACTTTGTATAGAATTACTGAGGGTGATACAGTTAGACACATGGAATTTGGAGATGTCAAGTACTAGGGAGGCCTCTTCACTCTCTGATGTCCCTGTTTTTGGATCCAAATTTCTACCTTTCTTCCACAACTGGCCCTCTTGTAGGTCTGATATATAGATTTGTATACATGAGGGATCTAGTGAACCTGTCTTTTAGAAGAAACACATATACATTCCTCATAGCAGATCATTGCTCTGTTTTCAGTGCAAGTCTATGAGTCAAGTCTCTAACCTGACCCAAGAACAGAAGACTGTCTATAAAGCCTCCTGCAGACAGATCTCAGCCAGATTGGGGGATGATCCTATGTTTAGAGTTTAGAGATAGGGGACCATAATTTCCCCATAATTGTCCAAGAGTGGGGAAGCAAATCGTGTAAGTTGGAACCATCTGCAAAGTTCTCATCTGCATACTTGTTCCAGATCAGTGACCTAAACTACTAAATGCAGAGGGTCAGCATGATAGTCAGGTGACCAGGCTTTTCTGAAGGAGAGGCCAATAGTGGCAGACATCATGTTCCTCTTGTGATAGGTTCTGTTAAACCCCAGATGTCTCCTCTGCCCTTAAAAGCTTCAGATCCTACCAAGATCGATATGGTTTGTTTACAATTGGCAAAACTGGAAGTCATGAAATACTCGTCGCTTCTGGTTTCTTAGACCACAGAGATGATCAGGGCTGTTCCAGTACTTGATCAGCTCTATTGTCAGCTAGCAGAACCACCAGCTGCAATCCCAGGTAGAGGAGAGAGACAACAGCGCCACTCTAAGTGTAGACGGTTAAAATCAGGCAGATTTAATGGTAGAATTGTACTCACATAGATAGCTAACAGGTAGGCATGTCAAGTGATGGAGGTCCAGTGGGAGCATCAGGTCCTTTGGCCACGCTCTGGTGTTTTCCCTCTGCTTCGGTGGTGTCCAGGGCTCGGGGAGTAGCAGAGGGGCGCAGGGAGGCTCACAGGGATGATGTCACCGCATGTACCGGGTTTCCAAGATGGCGCATGTTTGGAGCATGCTCACTCCTTAGGCGATGAAGGAGTGAGCATGCTCCGAACGTGCACCATCTTGGAAACCCGGTCCATGGACACCACCAGAGCGGCGGGAAAAGACCCAGAGCGCGGCCAAAGGACCTGATGCTGATTCACTTTGTGAAGTGACTGGCCTCAGGTGATATACAGAGATAAAATAAATCTTCCTACATAAGTTGTACCTGCTTATCTGCAGTCTTTGTATCTCTACAGCTGTCAAAAGTCCAGTATAAAGCTCTGCGAGTTCAGCAAACGGGGTGGAGAGCTGTATTTACACTCTGCAGAACTTAGTGAGCGGAGCTCTGAGAGCTGATTGGAGAGAATGGACTCCCCTCTCCAGTCCACACAGCTCACAATAACAGAGCTGAGGCTATCAATCATAGGCTGTGTTCTAGAGGTCTCTCCCTTGTCACCTTTTTTCTCTTGGTGTCAGAAAAACTCATCAGAAGTGACTCATGTTGATAGGCGAAGAAAGAGACAGCAGACAGGATTGACACTCAGTTCTCCTGACTGAGATAAGTACACACTATAGATGGATATGCTTTGTTCATATTTCATATCTGAGGTTTATAGCCACTGTACATTTTTGGCACACCTTGGTGCCAGGATAAATGAACTCCTGTGCATATGCTCTAAAGTTATGTCACCCCCACCAAGCTAATGAAAATAGCAGAAGCTTCCAAATCCAGAAGAAGCCGGGGATGTCGGGCACTGGCAAGGTAGCTTGCAGACATCTCATCACTGGAGTGGAGGGGAGTATTGAAGGGTTTAGTTCCACTTTAACAACCAAAACCATGACCCCGAGGTCAGTTGGAAGTTCTCCGAGGAGAACACCTACCCTGAATGCGAAACTGGAACCCACCGCATCCAATCAAATTATGTTTCCTGAAGTCAGATGTGGTTGCAATGGGTCACTGTGCCTTGCACATCATTCCCCTTACCCCATGGAGCTGACATCAGCTATGTGCCTCCTTAGTCCTGTGACTATGAAGAATCCCTTCCTGCTCTCAGGTCCCCAGGAGGATCGACCTATAATAAAATATCCTTGTGTAATCCGTTGGCCGGGGCTCACAGCCTCTCCATGAATACCTGCATCTCGGCTTCTCATTAGTCTGTCGTTCGGTGTCTGTGATGACGAAGCGGCTCACTCGAGCCTAAGAAAATAGCCAAAGGCCGATCGAGAAGGGAGTCTGTTGAACAAATATATATATCTATTTGTGCCAAAATCCAGGCGGAGAGAAATGTTTTTAATTATTATCAATAAAGAAAATGTAATTATTAGAAACATGTGTAACAAGTAATGTCTGCTGTTACCTACTACTCCACTAATTGCATCTGACTGCAGGAGCTGTGAGTGGAGGGCGCTCCACCTAATTAACGAGCTGATTGTGTTTTGACAATCATGTCCAAACAATACAGAGCAGTAGCTCCATGACTCAACCCCATCTCCTGCTGGACTAGGTAGCTTAGTGTCTATGCAATTAGAATGAGACCACTGGATGGAAATAGGAAGCCTCCAGATTGTCCTTGGCCTTTAATCAAATCCTTCATAATAGAACTCCAGCCAAAACACTTATTAGTGATGAAAAGAGTGGGGAAGGGTTAGAACCCCTGCCGGGCCTTTACTGCTGTCTGAGCGCCCCCGCCGCAGATTTCTCCTAACTTATATTTCACTTTTGGTAAAAACATTAAAGTGTTACTAAATCCAGGAACCTACATTCACTATATCTGGTCTCCCCGGACCCTGCATTCACTATATCTGGTCTCTCCGGACCCTGCATTCACTATATCTGGTCTCCCCGGGCCCTGCATTCACTATATCTGCTCTCCCCGGACCCTGCATTCACTATATCTGGTCTCCCCGGGCCCTGCATTCACTATATCTGGTCTCCCCGGACCCTGCATTTACTATATCTGCTCTCCCCGGACTCTGCATTCACTATATCTGGTCTCCCCCCGGACCCCACATTCACTATATCTGGTCTCCCCGGACTCTGCATTCACTATATCTGGTCTCCCCGGACCCTGCATTCACTATATCCGCTCTCCCCGGATCCTGCATTCACTATATCTGGTCTCCCCGGACCCTGCATTCACTATATCCGCTCTCCCCGGACCCTGCATTCACTATATCTGGTCTCCCCGGACCCTGCATTTACTATATCTGGTCTCCCCGGACCCCGCATTCACTATATCTGGTCTCCCCGGACCCTGCATTCACTGTATCCAGTCTCCCCCGGACCCTGCATTCACTATATCTGGTCTCCCCCCGGACCCTGCATTCACTATATGTGGTCTCCCAGGACCCCGCATTCACTAAATCCGGTCTTTCCAGACCCTGCATTCACTATATCCGGTCTTTCCGGACCATGCATTCACTATATCCAGTCTCCCCGGACCTTGCATTCACTATATCCGCTCTCCCCGGACCCTGCATTCGCTATATCTGGTCTCCCCGGACCCTACATTCACTATATCCGCTCTCCCCGGACTCTGCATTCACTATAGCTGGTCTCCCCGGACCCTGCATTCACTATATCCGCTCTCCCCGGATCCTGCATTCACTATATCCGGTCTCCCCGGACCCTGCATTCACTATATCTGGTCTCCCCGGACCCTGCATTCACTATATCTGGTCTCCCAGGACCCCGCATTCACTATATCTGGTCTCCCCGGACCCTGCATTCACTATATCCGGTCTCCCCGGACCCTGCATTCACTAGATGTGGTCTCCCAGGACCCCGCATTTTACTAAATCCGGTCTTTCCGGACCCTGCATTCACTATATCCGGTCTTTCCGGACCCTGCATTCACTATATCCGGTCTATATCCCTGCCCGGACCCTGCATTCACTATATCCGCTCTCCCCGGACCCTGCATTCGCTATATCTGGTCTCCCCGGACCCTACATTCACTATATCTGGTCTCCCAGGACCTCGCATTCACTATATCTGGTCTTTCCGGACCCTGCATTCACTATATCCAGTCTTTCCGGACCCTGCATTCACTATATCCACTCTCCCCGGACCCTGCATTCACTATATCCGGTCTCCCCGGACCCTGCATTCACTATATCCGCTCTCCCCGGACCCTGCATTCACTATATCCGCTCTCCCCGGACCCTGCATTCGCTATATCTGGTCTCCCCGGACCCTACATTCACTATATCTGGTCTCCCAGGACCTCGCATTCACTATATCTTGTCTTTCCGGACCCTGCATTCACTATATCCAGTCTTTCCGGACCCTGCATTCACTATATCCACTCTCCCCGGACCCTGCATTCACTATATCCGCTCTCCCCGGACCCTGCATTCACTATATCCGCTCTCCCCGGACCCTGCATTCGCTATATCTGGTCTCCCCGGACCCTGCATTCACTTTATCTGGTCTCCCCGACCCTGCATTCACTATATCTGGTCTCCCCGGACCCTGCATTCACTATATCCTGGTCTCCCAGGACCCCGCATTCACTATATCTGGTCTCTCCGGACCCTGCATTCACTATATCTGGTCTCCCCGGACCCTGCATTCACTATATTTGCTCTCCCCGGATCCTGCATTCACTATATCCGGTCTCCCCGGACCCTGCATTCACTATATCTGGTCTCCCCGGACCCTGCATTCACTATATCTGGTCTCCCCGGACCCCGCATTCACTATATCTGGTCTCCCCGGACCCTGCATTCACTATATCCGGTCTCCCCGGACTTTGCATTCACTATATGTGGTCTCCCAGGACCCCGCATTTTACTAAATCCGGTCTTTCCGGACCCTGCATTCACTATATCCGGTCTCCCCGGACCCTGCATTCACTATATCCGCTCTCCCCGGACCCTGCATTCGCTATATCTGGTCTTTCCGGACCCTACATTCACTATATCTGGTCTTTCCGGACCCTGCATTCACTATATCCAGTCTTTCCGGACCCTGCATTCACTATATCCGCTCTCCCCGGACCCTGCATTCACTATATCCGGTCTTTCCGGACCCTGCATTCAATATATCCGCTCTCCCCGGACCCTGCATTCACTATATCTGGTCTCCCCTGGACCCTGCATTCACTATATCTGGTCTCCCCGGACCCTGCATTCACTATATCTGGTCTCCCCGGACCCTGCATTCACTATATCTGGTCTCCCAGGACCCCGCATTCACTATATCTGGTCTCCCCGGATCCTGCATTCACTATATCCGGTCTCCCCGGACCCTGCATTCACTATATGTGGTCTCCCAGGACCCGCATTTTACTAAATCCGGTCTTTCCGGACCCTGCATTCACTATATCCGGTCTCCCCGGACCCTGCATTCACTATATCCGGTCTCCCCGGACCCTGCATTCACTATATCCGCTCTCCCCGGACCCTGCATTCGCTATATCTGGTCTCCCCGGACCCTACATTCACTATATCTGGTCTCCCAGGACCTCGCATTCACTATATCTGGTCTTTCCAGACCCTGCATTCACTATATCCGCTCTCACTCCGGGACTCTGCATTCACTATAGCTGGTCTCCCCGGACCCTGCATTCACTATATCCGCTCTCCCCGGATCCTGCATTCACTATATCCGGTCTCCCCGGACCCTGCATTCACTATATCTGGTCTCCCCGGACCCTGCATTCACTATATCTGGTCTGCCAGGACCCCGCATTCACTATATCTGGTCTCCCCGGACCCTGCATTCACTATATCAGGTCTCCCCGGACCCTGCATTCACTATATCCGGTCTCCCCCGGACCCTGCATTCGCTATATCTGGTCTCCCCAGACCCTACATTCACTATATCTGGTCTCCCAGGACCCTGCATTCACTATATCTGGTCTTTCCGGACCCTGCATTCACTATATCCAGTCTTTCCGGACCCTGCATTCACTATATCCCGCTCTCCCCGGACCCTGCATTCACTATATCTGGTCTCCCTGGACCCTGCATTCACTATATCTGGTCTCCCTGGACCCTGCATTCACTATATCTGGTCTCCCCGGACCCTGCATTCACTATATCTGGTCTCCCCGGACCCTGCATTCAATATATCTGGTCTCCCTGGACCCTGCATTCACTATATCTGGTCTCCCCGGACCCTGCATTCACTATATCTGATCTCCCACAGTACACACAACATGGAAATGCAATTATTTTAGTAAATATAATCTGCAATCCGATTTTAGTGCGGACTCAAAAAGGGTCCTGTACCTTTTTGGTGCGGTGCGATTAGAGCCATACGTAATGTATGGCTCCAATCACACTGCAGACAAATCGCACGTGATTTGCACAGGAGTGCGGTTCCTGTGCGAATCACATGCGATACACCGCACCGCATATATGTGAACCCGGGCTCAGTGCGACTTCATTGTGGCTTGCTGACACTCTGTGTGACTTCATTTAACAGATGTCAATACAAGTTGCAATGAAGTTGCACAAAAATAGTGCAGGAACCTTGAGTCGCACTGATTTGAATGGTTCTATTGCTTGCTGATGGGGTGTAACTTGTCATGTGACTTTCAATTCACTGGTGTGAACCAAAGCTGAACGTATCTAATGGCAAGGGGTGCTTGGCTGTGCTGGAGGGTCTATGCTGGCTGCTGGGGGAGTTTATTGTTGTGTGGAGGTCTGGTGGGATGAACTATTGTTGCTGCAGGGTCAGTTGTTGCTGGAAAGGATCTACTGTTGAGGGAGGGTATACTGTTCTGTTGCTGGCTGTTGGAGGTTCTATATTCATGCTGGTTGCTGGGAGATCTATTATTTCTGATGGGGGGTCTATTGTTGCTTGGGTGGGTAATTACTGGGGATCTATTGCTCTTGGGATGTATCTGTTGCTTCCGGGGGTCTATTGCTGGGGTGGATCTATTGTTGCTTGGGTGTATTATTACTGGGGATCTATTGTTCTTGGTATGTACCTGTTGCTTTTGGGGGTCTATTGCTGGGGTGGATCTATTGTTGCTTGGGTGGATAATTACTGGGAATCAATTGCTCTTGGGATGTACCTGTAGCTTCTGGGGGTCCATTGCTGGGGTGGATCTATTGTTACTTGGGTGGATAGTTACTGGGGATCAATTGCTCTTGGGATGTACCTGTTGCTTCTGGGGGTCTGTTGCTGGGGTGGATCTATTGTTGCTTGGGTGGATAATTACTGGGGATTGATTGCTCTTCTGATGTACCTGTTGCTTCTGGGGGTCCATTGCTGGGGTGGATCTATTGTTACTTGGGGTGGATAATTACTGGGATTTATTGCTCTTGGGATGTACCTGTTGCTTCTGGGGGTTTATTGCTGGGGTGGATCTATTATTACTTGGGTGGATAATTGCCGGGGATCTATTGCTGTTGGGATGTATGTGTTGCTTCTGGGGGTCTATTGCTGGAGTGAATCTATTGTTCCTGGGGGCCTATTGCTGCTGGGGGAGTCTATTGTTGCTGGCCGATCTATTTTACTTCTTTTCTTGTTATTAACAAATTCCATACAAATTACTTTGTAAAATGATACTTGGCTGTGTGTTCTGTAAAAGGGGCGGTACTAGGAGCTGAGTAGGAGATGGAACCAAGGGACGGTGCTCGGAGGTGGGTAAGGGGCGGAGACAAGAGGTGACTCTTTGGGGAAGGGGTACCTTCACCTGTTTTTCTATGAAAAAAAAGCCTTGCTGTCCACTATATCCAAAACTAAAAAAAAAGACTTAAAAAAAAAAAAAAAGTTTGCTTTTAGTTATACTTTAATGATTTTTTTTTTAATAGTTTTAAAGTTTAATCCATAGCAGCCAATCAGAAATCACAAAATTACAAACCGCCGATGGATTTTCATTGGTTGCTTTCATTGTAGAATGAGCCTATCACCGTGCGCCCGTTTGCTTTGGGTTGTAGTAGACCTTTACTGACACCGATGGCAGCTCCGGACTGTTGCGAACATTTTCCTGCTCCCGTTCCATGTAAGAGGATTCTAGTGGAACACGGAGGATCTATAAATAGGACGTCTATAGCGGCGCTCGCCTGGCGCCGGTAAGTGTCCAGTTGGCTTCCAGTCCACCATCGCTGAAAAACCAGACCAACCCAAAAAGATTTTTTTTCCAGGTTTGACGCTCGGTAACAGAGAGGTGGCAGCGAGGATTTAGGGGTGTCTTGGGACTTTACCTTACATCCCATAAAGTGTAATTGCTGAATACGTCTTCTCGGTTATTTTTGTTGTGTGTGTGTGTCAGGTTGTGTTTTTTTTTTTCCGACACCTCTCTTCCCAGTCCTTCCCTCCCCGGTCAGTGCAGACTCCGGATAGTCTAGCACCGCACTGCTTATAGGCACTCAGCTCCTTTAACCCAGCAGGAGGACCCAGGGCCTGTTGGAGGGAGCCGTCTGCACATTCTGTTAGGCTCTTTAAAATGAAAAGTCCTTGCATGTTATGTGTCTATAAAGACGCTTGTGATTGCAGCGTCCCATGCAAAATTAACCAATTAAATGCTGGCTTATAGACCTTCGCTCGTTGTGCACAGGCCGGCATTTATGGGATTGCGTGTAAAACTTTTTATATTGCGCCGATTAACTTTTTTTTTTTTTGGCTCGCTTGTACACATAAGCCGATCGTTCTTATTCCGCACAGACACGGAAGAACAGTCTGATGATGTGATAAAGCAGATTTGGGCTCCATGCACGCTAGCGGTTTTTTTCTTTTAGCTCACAAAATGCTGGAAAAAAACATTGGATAAAAAAACGCTTGTAATAGCGTTTTTTAGTAACTTTTTCCACCAGAAAAAAGCTCCCAAAAACTTAAAACATTTTTTTTTCTTTTTTTTTCTGCTCCTAAGGCTTCATGCGAGCGGCACAGTGGCTTAGTGGTTAGCACGTCTGCCGTGCAGTAAATGGGTCATGGGTTCGATTCCCGACCTCCTGCATGGAGTTTGCATGTTCTCCCCTGTGCCTGCGTGGGTTTCCACCGGGTGCTCCGGTTTCCTCCCACACTCCAAAGACATGCTGGTAGGTTAATTGGCTCCTGTCTAAATTGTCCTAGTTTCATCCCTGGCCATGCAGGATCTCCTGCATGGTGGGGGTTGGGGAAAGACCTGGCAACCTACCCTGTAAAATAATTGCTAAGAAAATTCATGGAAAAAGTTGCTTACGAGTGACGGTCCATGCAATCACCAAGGGTCGATACGACTGAATGGATAGATAGATAGAAGGCTTCATGCACATGGGGCATTTTGGTAACATTAGCTGTGTGAAGTTCGTGTTAAAAACGTGAGTTTTTCAGCTTTTTTTAGCATTTTTGCATTAGCGTTTAGAGGCTTTTTTTCTAGCTTTTTTTTTTTTTTTTTACATGTATTGTAAAAATACCAATAAAACGCTAATGCTCCTGAAGGCTACTAAAAATGCTAAAAATGCTATTACCAGCGGTTTTTTATCCAGCATTTTTTGTTTTTTTTGAGCTTAAAAAAATGCTTGTAATAGCGTTTTTTTAGTAACGTTTAGGAGCACTAGCGTTTTCCACCAGAAAAAAGCTCACAAAAATGTAAAAAAAATGTTTTTCTTCTTTTTTTTTTCTGCTCCTAAGGCGCCATGCACACTGGGAGCTTTGATAACGCTGATAATGTTAGCTGTGTAAAGTCGCGTTAAAAACGTGATTTTTTTCAACTTTTTTTTTTTAGCATTTTTGCATTAGCGTTTAGAGGCTTTTTTTCTAGCTTTTTTTTTTTTTCCTTTACATGTATTGTAAAAATACCAATAAA